TATAAAATAGCCAACTAACTTGACAGATTGGCTCTGCCACTGCTTCGATGAGGAGCAGCTCTCCCAAACACAACCACGTTACGTAAAGTTGAACCTTTACCTTGTCTGACCTGTTGGTGTTTCGCTCCCCCCCGCTCGGATGCTCATCATCTTCCCCACATACGGGTCGAGTGGATACGCTGACAACACTGGGCCAGTAATTATTGGCTCAGTGGATGCACTCACAGCATGGATCCTGGTCACGGTCGGTAAGAGCAGGGCTTTATGCAGGGATTCTTTGTTCGGGGAATGAGGATTGTGCGAGCAAATCTCATCGTGAGGCCATCGTTCTTTTCGCCGTGTGCTCTCAGACCGGCCAGCGTAAGCAAGAAGATCAGCCTAAACAGGGCGCCAAGCGCAATACGGGGCGCAGCTTGCTTTAAGCGCATTGGTTCAGTTGAGCAAGTCCAAGAAGACACGCATGCGCGTGTGCACACGTCCAGACAGACAGACACACACACACACACACACACACACTGACTCACAGCGGCAAGGAGTGAAGCACAACAAGGTAAAACAAAAAACAAGATGATAGGGCATGACATGACACCAAGACAAAAAACTGTTTCACACCGCCCAGAGCTCGCCGGGCTCGCCAGCTGGGTTCCGGGAGGATTGAAGGCCCGTTGATTGCGAGATCTTCCTTGCTTCCGTCTGCTAGCTTCTGCCTTCCAGCAGTCACTTTGAAGGAGATGAGCTTCCGACTTCTTTTGAGGATTCATGGATGTTTGAAGCTTGTGTTTTATTTAAGTTTATAGGGTTTCTGAGTGGTTATCGCTCCCTCGTGAAAAATGTCTCTCATAGAAGTCTCGAACTTCTCATAAATTGGCGCCCGAGGGGGCGTTGCACATCAAGGTGTATCGATGAGTGGATGTAGAGGAACATTGTCAGCAAACAAGGACGCTCCCCCCCGCTGCTGATGGACCAATGGAGGAACACAAAGGCAGCGGCATGGCTGGCAGGGCGGGCCGCGAATATTCCTCGACTCGGCACTGCATCACCGTGCAAGTAACCAGTTGGATAACAATTGGTCGCACAATAGGAAGCCTCGACAGCGCGTAGTACAGTCTGCACTTTGTAACTAAGTCGGCTAAGTGTCTCGAGGCATACCAGGAAGATCCTGCCAGCAAGCGATGCAGTCAGCTCGGATTGTGCCAAGCGGAGGATGGCGACGTCACCGTCCGCCATCTCCAAAGGCAGGCCTCTCTCGAAAACCAACAAGACAACACATGTCCCCTAGTCTGTACATCTTTAGTCGCGCCTGGGCCTGCTGCGGCTGCGCAGGGTAGCATCTTGCACAGAATCTGCGCCACGGAGGGGTCCGAGTACCTCATCTGCGGCACATGGGATTCAGAGAAGGCTTCAAAGTGAGCGGGATTGAATTGGGTTCGAGTATGTCCGAAAGGCACGAAAGTCGTTCATCTCCGAACGGCTGGGGCACCTCGAAGTGTTGCCCTCATGCCGCCCTCATCTCGTCGTCCTTCTCCTGGGCCTTCTCGTCGTCCTTCTTGCCGTCCTCCTTGTCGTCCGCGTCCTGCATGTGACATGCGACATGTGTGCCATCTACCAGCTGCCAATGTTGCTGACCGGAAAGGAGAGTCAAAGCCAATCTAGGCTGACACAGTGAAAGAACAGGACCATCACGCTCATATTCAGCTGCTGCGAGCTTCATGGCTTCAGTGTGGGACGCTTCGGTGCATTGGGGCTCTGACATTATGCGGTGGCCCCGGCCAGCCTCCACACGCCGCGACCCGAACTTCGCTCGGAACGGGAGCGGCTCCCGAAGCCCGCAGCCCCTTCAAGGGGATGTCAGCGGCTCAGCGGCTCAGCATCTGGCGGGGCCCAAGCTTTTGACTTCTGTCGATGTGCCTATGACATTTTAAACTTCGGACATCTCGGCGAGCTGCCGGAGCCGTCAGCTGAGTCAGCTGTGCTGACAGGCGTCGTGACATCCTGCGACGCGACTCCACAAGCCACATCAAGCCACCCAACTGCAGCCAAACTGGAAGCCTGCTCTGGATTGCATCGCCAAGGGCTCGGCTTCTGAAGCAATCTTGTTCGCTGAGCCAGGAGCGTCATGACCTCAGAGGAGCCCATCAGCACCAGAGTTATCAGAGGGAGGGCAGGCAAGGAAGAGCAAAACCTGCAATCTGAAAGGGCAAGAATGTGTGCAGCATGATGTAGCATGCTCATCCGAATGGCAACCGGGAAAAGGATGACTGAGCCCACAACCGCAGGGTCGAAATCTGGGGCGGCTGCGGAAGCCAGTCACCAGGGCCCTGCAAACGCACATGCCCAGGACCTGTCGTGCGACGGGGATTCCATCGTTGATTCGGACAGAGAGAGCCGAACCTGTTCGCTGACAGTGCGGGAGCACTCCGCGCAATACGGACCGTGCGGGCAATCCTTCACCTGGGTCCACGTCCAAGACCCGAAAGCCCGAACCTAAGCCCATGGATACCTCAACGTCCCCTGTTTTCCTGACCCCCAAGCTGCTTGGAAAGCTTGCAGAGGCTCCGGCTATGGCGGGCCGATGGCACAGCTTCGCGAAGCGGGGGCTGTCGCCCAACACCCGCCGCTTGCACCTTTCATTCTCCGCCGCATCCCCAAACCCTAAACCCAAGGCACCACATCCCGAGCACGAGGTTCCGTTGCACGCATTCTAGTTGGAATTGTCCGGCACATCTGAGCACCGTTTCTGCAGCTTGGAGCAACCGAAGCCCTGAAGCCAACAACGGAAGTCTGCTCAAGGACTTGGACCCGCGGCGGGGCGCGGGCTGTGACATGCACTAAGGTTTCGGCAACACTGGATGTGAAACAACTGGCTAGGTCGGCTAGGGGAGGGAGGCATGGGGAGGCATCTCCCAGCTCAGGCCCCTACTGGATGCACTGGAACGCCTTCGAAGACGTTGTGGCAATCACCTGGGCCACAACAGCAGCCCCTCAGAAGTATGCGTGCCACGAGTCATCACGGTCACGCATCATCATCAGACATCACGCTCGCAGCAGGCTCCCGGGCCTCTGCGCGAATTGGATGGACTCGGATCTCGGCATGCTCCTCCACGGCTGGTTCAACTACAAGTCGTAGCCGCAGCCGCCGCGAGCAGACAGGAGGCCTCAAGGACGGAGGTGCAGGCCTCAGAGCACGGCATCTTGGGAACTTACGCAGCTTACATGGTTTTGGCCCTGCCTGGCAGCCACTCACAGCCTCCATCACGGACTCCACAAATCCAGCCACCGCTGAAAGCCAGGTCCATGGGCATTCCCCAGGCCTGGCATGCGGAGCAACACCAGCTCACAGCAAGCATCTAACCCTGGAACACGACAGGCACACGAGCTGCGCTTGCGGCCCTCCTCGACGTCGACACCCTGTGACAAACGCAGAGTAAGAAACTTGCAGTGAAGCTGCATCGTTGCCCACCTGCTCCAGCAGGGCTCCTTTTCAGAACACATGCGCAGAGATGCTCTCAAAAGATGCCACCGCCAAGATCTACGAAACAACCTGTCGTCCGGCTCCTGTCCAGGCCATGCTCGTCTAAAGGTGCACAGCTGTATGATGCGACGACTGGTATCGTCTACAATCAAGACCTCTGGCCCACGGCGGCCACGGAAAACTTGCAACCAAAGGTACGGCTGCTTCGTCAAGACTCGTCGTGAACCATGCTTTGGACGTTTGGTTCCCCGAAAGAGGGCTGCTATTGACTGCTTACAGCCATTTGGTGTCTGGGAGCAAAAAGGCTACGGCAACCTGATGACTGGCCTGTCGGTCCGCGGACGTAGTGCAGTGCAGCACTCACTACGAGCTGAGCTGTGCTTCTCCCTGGCTCCCTGCTGCCTCCTTGAGTTGCTCCAGGGCCCAGCGCCACGCCCTGCTGACCGTAGCCGCCTGAAGTTCAGGTCCCCAAGTATGTACGCGGGGGGCCTCAAAGTTGTTTTGGGGTTTCGGGTTTTGGGGTCTCGGGTTTTGTGTTTTTGGGGTATTGGGTTTTAGACCTTTGGGGTTTGGGGTTGTTCAATCTTCTGCGATCGCAAGACCTACATCCCTCGCCACTCCCGGGCCAATTCATCTTCCACCGCGACTGACGCGTTCGTAATTGCCTGTGCCACGGCGCAGAAGGCTCGGAGATCCAGAGCTAACTTGCCTCGGAAGCAGACACTGCGCAGTGCGCAGAGCGCTCAAACTTTATACGGTATACGCTTTGCCTAAGTTCCAGACTGCGATCGGCCAGCGTCAGGAGCGAGAGTGCTGTGGGCCAATGAGCGGCACACGCACCCAACAGCTTTCCAACCTTCCAGGGCACCGCCGCACTGCAGTTCGACACATTTTCCCACCAAGTGTGATGGTGGCATCTAAGACAACCCCCTTGTTGTGCTGCCGAAGTGGCACTTTTCCGGCTGCAGAGCGGCTGCTGTCGCGCATGCACGGCCGACACGAGCAAGCTCACAGCCTTGTCACGAAAGTTCGGGCGTGATACTGGAGCAGTTCTTGAATGCGTAGATGGACGTGTGCTTGTCGTGCTTTAGTGTGCAGTGATGTTTCACCCGAGCCTCCTTCCACGCAGCTCTGCGGGCAGCTGCATCCAAGGGAGATCCGCCAAGCTGCCCCAGGGGTACCCGGCGGGTCACACCTCTTCGCCATAGCTCCCGCAGACCCATGCATAGCCATGAGGGCGGCAGGCGTCTTAAGGTCTTAAGCAACTTGCTCTGGTGAACCACTGTAGAGACAGCTACTACTCGTATATCAATGTCTAACATCCCGGAAGCCCCAACACTGTAGTACATTCCTGAACATCATTTACAACTAAGGTGTTGCAACTCGCCTCCCTAAGCCTGCGACATTTCGTGACTGATAATCTGTTTCCACACACGAGCTACCTGCAAGAACAGTCGCGGCGCAAGCCATGGCCCGATGACTCCGTGACTTGAGTCCCGCAAAGTCCTATGGTCCTATGCAAGGGCTCCTCGCTTGGGGGCACCAACGCCGTGGCAAGGCCTCGTAAGGCATTCGCCAGGCCTCTCGATCTTGACTGCAGTGGCTTCAACTTGGATACTACAGTTGGCCATTGTCACCGCAGAATGGCCCGACCAATGAAAATGCAGCCCGGAGAATTGAGAGCTCACGAATACGTCACGGAAGTGGTGGAGGGAAGCCTACTTCCCAGCTGAAATAGGAAGCATCCTCGTGCAGGACTCCGACCCCCAGGAATACAACACCGGAGCTCCTAGGCTATGCTCCTGATCCCCTTCTCATCTCTTTTATACGGTTCTGTCACTCAGAAATTCCAAAACTTGCTCGCTGCAAGTGGGGCCTTGTGGGTCAGGCTGACACGCTGTACCTGGTCAAAATGATGTGCCGGTCACAACCTCAAAACCTATTCACCCTAAACCAGGCACCAGGTGACGAGTGCTCAGTGTCGTGCACAAAGCCGCACCGGAAGGCGCCGTGCAAAGCGACAGGTCCACCTGCCAGGCAGCAGCTGAGAGAAACACCTTGTGAGTCGAGATTCCTCCTCCTGCTCCTCCTTCTTCTCCTGCTTCTTTCTCTTCGGCGCTGTGCGGCTATCGTTCCAGAACATGTCCGGCGATCGCTGAGTTCTGCAGCCATTCAATGCTTCCACCGTTGATCATGACGCCATTCTGATGCAGTGAACTGTGAAGGAAGACCGATCTGCGAGCCAAATCGACACACTTCGGTGCGCCTGCGCAGCAGTCCCGAGACTCCGCAACGTGTTGGCGATCTCTCTTGCGACGAGCTCCCTGACCTGCCACGAACCGAAAAGCCACACCCAAAGCTTCGACAGACCATCCCGGCTCAGCGCACAAAGCCCCTTGCGCTGAGGCCTTCTCCATACATGTGACCACGATTGCCGCCGAGAGCGGCTTGCTCTTGATGGATGTCCTGGCAAGTGAAGAATAGCCATCACAAAACAAACTAGCAGCCACAAGCCGCCATTTTCCAATCAGATCAGATCGCAGGCTTGGGCTCATGTGCACACAAAGAAGTCTAAACAAGTATAGCCTTGAGTCAGCAACCGGCTCGTGATTGAGCAAACAAGACTTATCTCATCTCAAGATATCTCAAGTTGAGCCTTTGTGAGTCGGAGAGGCCAAGGCATAGTGACGTTGCCCCATTGCCCCAAGCCTTAAAATTTTCCCTTCAACCTCGCTGGTGGGCACGTGGCAATCTCCCGTGCGCTGTTTGCCGCGTTCTGCGGCACGAGTTGGCCTCGCAGGCGTCCCGTCTCTCTGGGCGAAGTGAGGAAACGCAATCAAGGTATGTTGCCACCCACCTTGCTGCACCTGAAGATGAAACCCCCTGCCAGCCTCGTTTTTGAAAGAATTCCTCTGCAATCGCCACAAACCTGACTTCAGGCTGCTTCTGTGTTCAAGACAGGAGCGACTCCAGTTCACAGTGCGATGTGATGCCGGCTCATCACGCAGCGACCATGCACATGCGTGGTGCGTGTATGTCACAAGTCAGAGCTTGTTGGTCCTTATGGCTCGCAAGTCTCGAAGTCACCGGAACGTCACCCTTAAATGCGACTGCATCACTCTTGAGTGGCAGTCATTTGGACTCTGCTGTTCAGCGCGACTTCTGCGCAGGTCAGCCTTTTCAGAGGCCCACCACGAGACGATGAGTCTGCCGGGTGATAGGTGCAAAGGATACAGGTGAATTCTGTCGAGGTATTAGCCGAGACGAGCCCTAGCTCTGCACGGGATCAAAATAAGTTGCTTCTCCTTCGGTGGCACGTTAGAGCCGAGCCGTAGAGAAGACATCTGTATAGGTCTGTACGTGTATAGTCTGTTGTGAAAACCTGCAGCTGCCAAGGCTTAGGTGCGAGCTGCAGAATAAATGACACCCCCGTTTGAAGGAGTCTGTTCTCGGGCTCAGAAGCGCAACACGAAACAGATGGCAATGCTACTCAAAACCGCAAACCCGATACGGCGCAAGGTAGACTTGCGCATAATCGCCGGGGTAGGCTCGTTTGCAGGTAAAAGAGATGACCGCTTGATGGGCTGGCCGAGGAGATCAATATGATGCAGCATGGATGCACGCACTTCCTCCAAGCATGGGATCGACATGCTGCACCAAGGAACAGCCTCAAGGTTGGAGGCCTCTAAGTTTTGAAGTCCCATAGACGAGTAGACTAACACCATGTACCTGCCATCTTGACAAGCCTGTCTGATTGAACCAGGACAGCTTTGCCAGGTACCGCCAGTGATCAGCACTCGTTGGAGCAAACGCCCACGGCCCTCTTGAAGCTCAGCACTCTGCTCAAGCATACTCCTTCCACGGAAGAACTTGGCCTCCTCCAAACAGTCTTCTGCCTTTTGCATCCCGAAGGAGCTGAAGGTCCTGTGGAGCTCTCGGTTGCTGCTTGCTAGGTGCTTGCCTTCCCAATGTTCCAAGAATTGGAACATGTCGCGGATGACCGGTGATGGAACATGACCTTGGCTGCCAAGCTGCAGCTCTTCGGGCGAGCTTCGCACTCTTTGGATAGCGATCTCGAGCTGGCAGTAGGCCGCTTCAGCGAGTTCCCAAGCCTCGTTCAGCCTGCAAGTCAAGAACTCCTGAACCTAAGCTGACAAAGGGAACCAAAGCAGCAAGCAACCATGTCACGGGCCAAGCGGAACTGGCCCTGCGGCTTGGGGCATAAAGTTTCACTCCAGCCCAGAAACCTTCGTGTCGCCGAAGTTGCTGCCTCGGTCAATGTGGCTCCAGCCAACCGACAGGTCTGCCTTAATCTCGAAGAAGCAAGGCAGTATTTGCCCGATGTTCGGAGTTGCATTCCTCGGCTTGAGCAGACCCTGGCACGTGAGAGTTGCAGCGCATGATTTTAGTCCAGGCCGCACAGATGCTGCGATTTGCAAGTCTTCATCACAAACGAAAGGCACGTCTTCCTGAACTCAGGAAGACAGCAGCTGTAGAGATGCTTGGGCAAGCCTGCTAAACTGCTAAAGCTGCAGCTGTGTTGAAGTCGTAAGCAGTATGTAGTATGTAGTAAGCACTGGGTGGTAAGGTTGTAGTTCGTTGTGGTGCTGGTGCTGGTGCTGGTCGTCGTCTGCGTCGGTGTCGCTGTGGTCGTCGTGGAAGCAGTACCAGTAGCAACTCCCAAAAAGTCTGACTTCATCCTCCGAAGTCGGGACCTCCAAGCATGGACCCTGCGGTTTTGAGGCCCTCGGATTGTCCTTGAGATGGAGCTGGTCTCTCAGCGCCTTCAGCGCCGCAGGGGGACCCGGACTGAGCACGATCCATCTGGCAATGACAGATTCACTTCATGTAACATGATTCCGTGCCCATGCCAGGACAAACCTGTCATCGGCTGAAGATCGGCGACAAATACCATCAAATACCCCTCAGGCCCGTGAGCGCTGCACTGAGCTCACATTGCGACAGGTCGAACACGGTACCCTGCCCGCTTGGGAGACACACCGCTTGTTGCTTACTCTCTGACCAGAGCGTTCCTTCACAGCGAAATCCCCGTCCTGGACCAATCCTCTCAGACACCCAACACTCTCAGCACATCCTCACCCTCCCCTACGCCCGCCTACCCTTACCCTCTCGCCCCATGCCGCTTACCTGGAGGTTTAACAAGGAAAAAGCTGGCTTTTGTAGCTTACCCGGCCCTTCTACACCAGCAGACGATAGGCGAGCCCGATGCTGTCCCGGCACAGCTGGAGGTCGGCGGCCGCCGACAGCCCCCGGACATATGCTCAAATGACTCAAATGAACGTCAGCGATGTGCTGCTACGACTCCGCGGAATCACGGCGAATCGGCAGGGAAGATCCTAGCACTCGGTGCTGATTTCATCCCTAGTTTGCGGCAGCAGCCCAATGTCGGGTTGCTTGTTGCTCGAGACATCTGAAGACTGCTCAAGACATGTCGGGATCACTTGACCATGGCTTCGCGGCAAAGGCTTCCTGCGGTTTTTAGGCAGCCGTGACCCACGGGTTGCTCTGCTAAACGGGAGCCAGGTGAGCTGAGATCTCAGGATCCACCCGGGCCCCATCCGAATCCTTGAGAAAAAGCATGCACTACTTGTTTCAATCTTGTGCCCAGTTGCGGAGCGGCTCCATGAAGAGCCTTTGCAGCTTCTGTGGACAAACCGGGCAGCTCACAGATTTGAAGGTGCAGACGAGGACAAGGTTGTTGCGGCCTGGGCTGGGCGAAAATCGCATAGGGCATAGACCCCCAAACGGTTCGCCTCTGAGGGCAACTAAGTGAGGCGCATGAAACCCTACATGACTACATGACAGCGTACAACTTTGCTGCTTTGAGCATGAGCCACAAATCTCTTGCATGTGAAGGCGGCGTCCGTCGACATCTTTGAGAATCGACCCCTCTGCTGTGCGTAGGGTGCCAGACACGGGCTTTGGTTCGCCCATGATCTTCGCAGGAACAGGCGCGAAGGAAGCCCGAGCCAAAAATGGGCTGATAAATGGAGCAATCGGAAACTGCTGCCATGGAGGCATATGCTGTACCATACGAAGTCTCTGGGCACCCCGGCAGCATCTCATCTTTGATGGAAGCAGCTGCATGTCTGAAATGGAAGGACCGTGGCAAGGATCAGGGGACTAAAGAGGCCTCCTGCCTGTGCTCCTTCAGCAGATTGCATGATGAACTGCAGCAACGACAGAACCAGGCCTTCGGGCACTGTTTGAAAGATCCTGCAAACGAGGTGTCAAACGAAGCATCTTCAGTGCGGTGTCGCAGAGCTAACCCTCTTTGACCAAGATGATCCCAAGTCCCGGCTTGATGCGTGGCCTGTGCAGAAGCCTCTCGGAGTTTGCCGACAATGGCAGGTTGCGGCCCAGGCCGGATGCGCAGCACGGTGGAAGACCTCGGGAAAAACCGCCAACTGCCGTCCCCCAACGCTCCAGCGAGTGTTGGAATCTTCTGGATCGCGAACACAGTCGTTTGTTGTCGGTCTAGGCATCTTGGTAATGTCTTCTCGTCGAAAGGCCAGAAAACACTGCAGTTGACCTGGGTGTTTCCGCACAATGCCATCATCGCACCACCCCTTCAAGAACGGAATGCCAGGGGGAGGGCATCTTGTAGTGTTAAGCGCTAATGTCTGCTGGATGAAGAGAAAGTATATTCAATCATTGAGCTTCAGGCAGGGCATCGCAACATGCCAGAGGACTTGAACTACAGAAGGATGCAGGCTGGGAGAATGAGCAGGTAGGGTCGTGTCCCTTCGGGCCAAGGACGTCGAACACTTCGTGCTGCCGCAGGCTTATGTTCCGATTCTGGGGCCTCTCTCCGGTATGCAGCAGGAAGCATGAAGCTCATAGGCTACCGCAGAGACACCTGGACCACAGGTGGTCATCGTGTCACAACAAGTTTGTTGCCTCTGGGCCCCCAGCCACAAGGCGTTCGCCGGGCCACGGCAGTCGAACTCAGTGCTGCGCCGCGACACGGCTGAAGGAGTGCCTTGAGATGCTCCGCAGAGCTTCGGGCTGGGACGGTTTGGGAACAGAACGTATCAGTGGCTCAACACCGGCACTGGAAGAGGAGCAAGGACATTTCGGAAACAGCATGTCATGCTGTCGACAAAGCACGTCAAAATGCTGAACCATGACGTCTCGATGCTGGATTCCTCGGCTCAAGGCACATTGTCACGGCGACACCTGGCGACAACGCAAACCGGATTCAGTTCCACTATATCCGGCTGTGCCTCAGTAGCATCTGCCGGCTAGCACGAACGTACGCACGTCTCGGAACCGGCTTGCTTGCAGATTCTTCACGCGCAGTTGCTCGGGGTGCTGTGCACAACGCACAGTCCACTGTTGAACCGTTGGCACCGTAATCTAAGCAGTACCACCACCCCGTCGTCTATGGCAGCAGGCAAGCGTGGCGGTGCAGCCCATGCTCTCCAAAGAGGTGAAGTCTCGGATGCTGTTTGCAAGCTCTTGTGGAAGGAGCCCCTGTTGGACAGGTCTTGCCGGATCTGGGGGGCGCTGGCAACTCACAGCGTTTTTAGGACGCAACACTGAGCCTGAACACTGGCTGCCGTCGACTCGCCAGCAGCACTGAACAAGGAAGCACCTGAAGGTGGCTCTTGGCTTGGATGCTGCATCCCGGGAGGCCCCGTTAGAAAGGACAACAGAAGCGGAGACGCTGAAGGACAGGTGCGGCCCTTTACTGACTTGAGGTCCTGGCCCATGGGTTGCGGCGTGGTGTGTCTCCAGGAGATGTTCGCTGGTCCCTGCGGCGCATCGACGGCAACGCTACAGACCCCGGCAGACCGGATTGCTTTTCGCCTGGGAGTTGGGCATCGGAAGCTGCCGCCACCCTGGCACTGAGGTTTCAATCCCTGCGAAAGATGCCAATCGCCTCCCTGCAAAGTTGATGCTGCCTTAGGCCCAGGCCTTCACGGCATGTCGCTTGTAGCAGAAGCTCGCCTGAGTTTTCTCAGAACTCTACAGTTCTCAAAGTCTCGAAGTCGGACCCCCCCTGAACCCTAGGAAGACTATATGAGACCGCGCGTCTGTGTGGCAATGGGTTTTCTACTGTCGCAGTTCGTCCGAAACCTTCGTTCATCAAGCTGCGGCCCGAACGCCAAATCCCATCCCTTGCTCCTTGGGAGCCTGACGTCTGCGTGCCAACGCAGCGGGCGCCTTGCACAGGCCAGGGTGGCATCACACGCAATCACAGGTAAGAGCAGAGGAAAACATCAAAGCCTGTGCCGTGATCGTCGGATCCTGTGGCCCGAACCTGAGCAGTCGACCGCTTTCCAAGCAGAGCTGCAGGGGTTTCTCCGTGTCCCGGACTCTGAAACCAAGTCCAGAGCCCTTGCCGAGGCCTTGGACGTCCAAACGCAAAGCACTTTGGGCTTTCGAATCTTCAAGCATCTTCAAGCAACTCACCATGCCCTGCCACATTCTGGAACCTTGCGTCCACTGTCCAGAGATACCAAGCTCACAGAAACTGCTTGCGACTCGTTTGCAACGGGGGCTGTATGCAGGTAAGTATGCGTGGCCGAATTCATCTTCTAGAGGGTTGTAGGAACTCAACGAGAACCGTCTGATGTTGCAAAGCCCATGAGCGGCACACCGCCGAAGTAAACGAGAAGCCAGAGGCTTGTAGTATCCTTCGAGCTGCTTTCTGTGCTTTGTCATGAGTGATTCAATCAATCTTCGTAGCCTAGCGGCCTGGGCCTCAGGTCGTAAATTCTAGATGACGTGCGATGCCATAGCTGAACCGGGGGCTCTTAGCAGACAGTCGGGTGTAGGCTCATGCATGAGGAACTTACCTTACTTCATAAGTGCATAAGACCACATCGATGCAGCCATGCCTAGTAGCTCATCGACACTACATATCAGCGTAGAACAACACAACAACTGAATGCCCTCTGTAAACTGTCCATCTACCTGATCATCTCTCTATCGGTCTATGCATCTGTATGTCTGCTAGTCCATCTCTCTCTCTGTCTGCTTAACTATCGATCTGTCTATGTATCCATCTTCGAAGTTAGGGCATCCTGTTTTGGCCACTGGGGGTTCGGAGGTCACCGGAGGGATGTTTGAGCTGCAGAAAACCAAAAGTCCTCGCGGCCCATGCTCCGTTGGCCAAGTGCTGTGGCGAAAGCCGTGAAAGCTCGGCTTCAGCAACGATCGCGGCCTGGGGCGAAGTTCTCAGAGCTCCCTTTTTCGGACTGCGGGTAGTACTGGAAATGTGGAACCCGGCCATCGACGCAGAGCGAAGCACCGCTGGCACCCCCGGCGCCTGCCAGAAGGCCCGACATCTCTGGGGTTCCGAGCGGTCCTGGGATGAGCTTCCCCCCGCCTGTCCCATGTTGGCGAAGTCTTGGGGGCCGAACCCAGTAACTCTTTCAAGTGCCTCTTCGGCCTTGGATACTCAGCTTAGTTCCTCTGCATCCTTGAATCATTCAAGAGCCTTGCTGCTGTGGGCGCTGCACATCTTGGGCTCAGACCAGGACAGAAATCGTGGGGACGTCGAATCGCAAGGCCTGGACACGCGAAGTTGCCACACGCCACCGCCTTCTGCCTATGCATCCCGTGGATTCTGCCAAGCCCGAGATGCCGAGGCATGAACTTTAGCCAATCTCCACATGCCGTTGGACAGGTTCTGAGAGTCGAGGCCTGAATCTTCACGCTGAGTTACAGTGTCGCAGGCTGTGGTTTGAAGGGATTCTATACCACAGGCTGCATGCTGGGAAAGGATATACCTGCACTGAAGCGGCTTGGGAGAAGATTGACAATTTCTCACTCCGTACACACAACCCGATCTGTTCGACTACACGCTGCCTCTTGCGCCTGCAACTGCTGCCGTGGACAACCTTCATGGCAGCTTGATGGACGGCCAATTTGCCAGCCACATCACGCATAAGCGGCCACTGTTTGAAGCATTAAGTTCGTGGCACTGAGAAGCTCATGCACACAGTCGTTCGAGGGAGCCGGCAAATCGTCACCACTCTTTTGATGATAATTCGAAATGCTGCCGGTCTTGCTCAGCATTGCTTTTCCTTTACCGAATTGCTCCGACCGTCCAGCGAAGCCACACAGAGGATGTATGCGTCCGAATGGCAATGCCATCAAGCTAGTTTGCCTCGCTGCAAACGCCTCTCGATGCTACAGCAAAATAAATGTTGGGTCTCGCAAAACCATGCCAAGTTGCATATAGCCTATATACCTGCGTGTCCTCGTGCCTCCAAATGGCTGCACATATATATATGTGTGTGTGTGTGTGTGTGTGTGTGCAGTGCGCGCATTACAGACCTCGCGCCATGCTGGGCTCGAGACTGTCACAGCAAGCCCCGCTTAAGGCCTGGGTCTTCGACACAGTAAAACTAGGATACAGCATGTGTCTCGTCGTTGCGGGAAGCAGTCGTACCCACCGAGAGGAAACAAAAACAAGCCGGAGAAGGGAATGGGAATTGACCCCTGCCTCCTGTGCAAGCTTCGCGAAGCCCATCCCCGAGACAGGAGGCATTCAACATTCACGTGGTCGCCCAGAACGTGCTTCTATCGGATGTGTTGCACAGTGCGAGATGCTGAGATGTTCGCTCTTGTCGCGTCAAGGTTGACAGAATGCGGTCCGCGCACGGCTTTCGATGCTCGCGCTCGATTCAACTAAAGCACAGGCTCTTGGAAGACTCGAAGCCTACCGGGACCGGGCGATCGGAGGCCGACCCGAGACGAGATCGAAGGCTTTTCGCGAAGAACCCCAGATGGTGAGGAGAAATCGAGTGTGCGAACATGTGCGGTTGCCTGCTTGTCGACGACTCCTCCTAGGCTTGCGGAGCAGCAAGCGACCTGAATGGACGGGCACAGGGCTCTCTCTCATGGACACAGAGGCGAGAGAGCTCAATCTTCGAGATGCTGGCTGCAAGGTGTTAACCTTGCGAAACGATTCCCATCGCGGAAGCTGCTGTGCAGGAGTCCAGACCACACGAATATAGGACGAGTCTGAGCAGTTGACAGTACCCTGCCGCCCAAGCTCACCAATCCTGCAGATACTTGACAAACTCCTAGACACAAAGATCGGCTGCAGCTGCTGCAAAGGTCTAGTCAGGCAGACATCTGTTTGCGTTTGTGGTTGTACAGGGCGCGCTGTGAGCCGTGCACAGCTACTGGGGTTTCCGAAAATAGGGGACCCTTCTATAGCACCCTTTCATTGTCGGATCCTTATAAGGACCCCAAAATAAGGTACCCCTGATTTTCGGAAACTTCCACTTGCCTGCAGCCGATTGCGTCCAGAAGGCCTCCCAGAGTTAGCATCGAGTCTGACCGACAAGCTACGGCTCAGCGGCTGGAGCCTTGCGCTGGAAAGTCCGCCGGGCGCGTGCTGGCGGTCGCCCACACCTGCCACGATACTCGAAACGTATCAGCCCTGATGTTATGAGAAACCGAGGCATTGAGTGTCCGCTGAGAACGATAACATCCTCCCGGACAAACAGATCTGTCAGTCTGTCTGGGGTGGTGACAAAGTTGGCAATGCCCCGCGCATCGGCCTGAGCTTTCGCAACGGCGCCTAAATCCGGCGCCAGCAGGCGTACGTAGTACAAATGCAGCGACGATGTCAGCGGTGGCTTCCGAGCTCAATTCCTGCCGTGATTCCCCACGCCAAACTCAAGAGTCAGGCACCGCGCCCCTAAAGAGATCCGCCCGTAGGTCAGCGCCTAAACTGTACAGCCTTAGGCGCCTATCGGACTGCCACCCCACTGGGTTTGCTCAGTATTCCCCGAAGCCCACATAGCACCTTGAATCCGGAAGGGTTAAGGGTTGCGCCTCCACAGCCGCTTTTGCAGCTTGCACCAGCAAGGAACGCCCGGATCCAAGCAGCACAGCGGCCCCGGAGAGACTGACAAGCATGAAATTTGGCGAAAAAACGAGCCTCTGTAACGATGCGCCGCCCACTGGGCCCCTCACGTTGGCGCCCTTTTCCCATGAGTTTGTGGTAGCAGTCTGCATGCATTGCTCAACTTAGTTCAGTAACAGCATTGACGTTCGCGAGGCGGAAGAGCGAGTGCTGGTTAACAAAAATGTAGGCTTTCTTCGAAATTCTGCATGGCTCGGCAGTCACACTGAGACTGAAGTAGGCTGAAGTCTCTTAGATCTGGACCGGGGCACAAGGCAAGTCAAGGCTCAAGGTGGTTTGGTGGGCTCAGCATGTGTGCCTTGCGATGCGATGGATCGCCGTGATGCAGTTCACAGGGCTGAGCTCCATCCTAAGGCATTGTACAAAGCGGCACAGCCAAGATGAAATCTGTCTCCCACAAACCTCCAGCCACCCTGCCTTGTTGCAGCCTCCAGCACTTTGGCCGGACCTAGGATTGAAGAATCTGTCAGACGTCTCTCCACGTCCCTACAAAGATGCCGAAAGCGTAAAACTTGGGATCCTCTCCTGCATTGTTTTTTTTGCTATGGGGCATGAACATTCATGAGCGCTTGATGTTGTCCACGGCACACGTCTGTCAGGCTGTCCACCGTAAGAGTCACGCGCAGAATGGCCATGTCATACCAATCTGAATTGCTTCACGCCGGGGTGCTGGTAGCGGCAAGGATCTCTTCTCCGACACGACGCTCCTGTCGCGAGAAGCCTCTGGCCTCAGCCGAACTTCCGCCTTAAAGAATTGAAGCTTGCGTAAGCTCGCAGGTGTGCATGTGCTATGGGATGCCCGTGCGAGGCAGGGACGTGTTGAAATGGAGAGCGCTGCGGCCGGGTGCGGACAAACGATCCTCGTCATACGGACATCTGAGAAATCAGAGTCTTGTCTGCGTTCAGGACTTTGGTCTTGGATTCAACTTTGCCACAAGCTTTGCAAACGGAAGCCCTCAAGCCACAACTGAAGAGTAAGTTGCGAGGCGCGACCGGTTTAGACATGTGTGGACGTAATGGCTCGAGAAAACTCGTGTTTGGTAGATGGCCGATCTCGGTGCCAGCACATCCCAACCACACACAATTCGGTCGCGACTTCATGCTCTTGGTTCTGCATGCAAAAGGCTCTGGCAGCGACTTCGACTTGCCACAGCAAACTCTGAACCCCGACGCTAACCGCGATTGTCGTAAGATCTACATCGGAGTTGCCCAGTTCTTGAGCTGGACGGACAGGCTCTGCATCACAAACGCGAGAGAAGACTCACGAAGGTTAGTGGTCCAGGGTTTGCAAATAGAGGGTCTGCGATTAGAATGATTCGGATTTGCGACTATAGGGCCCTTGTTTTGAGGGCTTAGCGCGCTTGCAATGAAGGCTTAGGGTTGAAGTTTGGGATTAAAGTTGTTCGGTGCGGTTTAATCGTTGGCACTTGCCGAAACAACCACGTGAGAAGAACCGAGTGATATCTTGCGAAGCAGCTCAAACTCAGGTGCAACACGCAAGCCCATGCTCTAGGCCCACACTGCAATGAAGCAAGCATGAAGTGAAACAAATACTCGAGCGGCCTCCCCTATACTTGTGCCCGGAGTGGGCGAGGCTGCCTCAGCCCCAAGCTCCGTAGAAGTCCCCCAGTGAGCACGTTAGCGCATCGCCTCACTGTCATGTGCCGCGGTGCCCGGCACGTTGGCCTCAAGGGACCCTGAGAGAGAACTCTCTGCGGCACACGCCCCACACCCGGCTAGCGGTGTGCGAGCCGTTGTTGAATGCACTGTCAACAGCTCGTGGGTAGGGCAGAGACAAGATTCGAAGCACGCAGGAAGCTTCGCAGCATAGACTTGAAACGCCTGTTCCCCCTAGTATGCCTTTATCGTATCCTGACCGTATCGTAACTCGACCCTTGCAGTATAAACATGTATACACCATGTCGCTTCTCAAAGCATGACCAGCAAGATGATGCCAAGCTCACATACTGCAAGGTCTTCAAAGATCGGACAGGTCCATGCACAACACCTCCTAAAGCTAAACCTTTCCAGGTTTTGGGTTTGGCATTTAGGGGCGCACCTTACATTGTGATATTCCCGGGTCCAGCATTTCCAAGCGACGGCGTTTGACCCTACACTTTTAGTAGACGAGATCACTGGCTCAGTAGGTGCACAGTCTCTCTTGCGATCCTCATCCAAACTATCCTAACTCCACCGGGAGGTCCTTCGGCTGCCGAGCTTGCCTCGCCCGGCCTACGGCCCTGACAGTATGTCAACGTGAGAAGGGCCGGGAGAAGCAGAACAGCTACGAACTCGAAAGCCAAAACTGCACCTCGCCGCTTGATGCCCCCTCGGCGGCGGACGCTGCCGCCGACTCCATCCACGCCCCTGCATTTTTGAGGGCTGAAACTTACTCCACACATCCAACACCCTTTGTCGCAGGCCAAGAGAGCATGACAAAACTAGACTCCAGTCCTGACGCCCTGAGTCGCGCGCCATGCGGAGCATCTCTGCAGCCCCTGAAAGAAACGCTTGCATCCCTGAGCCAGAAAAGGCATTCCTACACGAGTGGCCGGGGCATGCTTCCTGGTTTCAGCAGCGCCTGAGCTTGCAGTGGTCTTTCTCCGCCATGCTAAGATAGTGCAAGCATAACCGCAGCATTCACTGAGTGCAGTGGGTCGCCCACCTGCAAGCAAAAGTAGGTGCAATCAGAGTGTGGGAGGTCATGGCAGCCACGAATCCAAGAAGCTTGCTGCAAGCCCCGACATCCCTGAGTGGCGCCTCCTCGCTGGAGCTGAAGGGCCCTTGGCTACAACGCATGAAGATATTGGGCCGTGCTTCTGTCACCGTCGGAACCTTTTTGACATTTGGACCGACTCAGATCAGAAAATTTTTCGGAATGCAATCCGACAGAGGCCCCCCCAAGAGTTACTCGCAGTGACTAGCAGAAACACAAGAAGACAGGCTTGCACGAACGGTCTGCAGTGGCAATATGGTGAACAACTGCTCAACATGCCAGTGCCAAGGTGTGAACTCTCGCTCCACACGAGTAGGAGTCGTCTGCGCTCTTCTTCCGCCTGGCAGCTGCATTACGTAGCTTCTGCTAGCCAAGGACCTGTCTCTAGGACTCTAGGTGGCATGCCACTGTTTCTCAGATGTTCCGTATTGCCAAAAAAAATCTTGGAATTCCTCCCTGAGCTATCTTAACTGCAAAAATCCACCACCTGACAAACGGTCTGCACACTGTACGCCCTTCTGGTCTGGAGCTGCTGTAAAACTGAGCCGACAAGAAACACGAGAGCCGCTACGGTGACCCAGGGTCGCCGGGCGGCCGCCTCTCTTCCGCGCAGGCTCGGCATGGCCGCGGCCAGCAGGGACTGGCGCCTCACAGTTGGCGGAGCGGCGGCTCAGTGCAGTGCAGCGCTCTCTCAAAAAAGCCCCCGGCAGCTGGACTTCAGAACCTCGGGCTCCATGTGGACCCCACCAAAGAGGTTCGGCGTGCCACTGCCACCAGCAAAAGGCATCTGTTAAGGCACCCCGCGCAGCATCTGCGCCGCTCTGTGCGCCAAGCATGCTGCATTGCTCAACGTCCTGGTGCCGGCCTGCTCAAGGCTGGGAAATCGTGCTCGGCTTTAGCCACGAGTCGAACTGCGGCTGCTGATGCAGGCAATGCCGCTGCCTCTTTCACGAGGACTGGGCAGCCGACTTCCTTCTGCAATTCCTGGCGGCAGAATGCGCCACGCGGTGCGAGTCTATTGCGGCCTGTGACTTAAAGCATCCGGTTGCTCACCTCGGAGAGCATGCTGACAGCATCCACAACGTTGCTCAGCTCAGCCTCCAGTGACGGCACAGCCGATGAGTCTCAGCCTCGTTCTGCCAAAGCCTGGAGCTTCTCCAAAGAGGCCCAAGCTTGGAGCGAGCGCCTGCACTGGGCTTCTGGAGGCTTTTTTGCTGCAAGGCCTCTTTGGGGCCTCTGAGCCCCTTGCCGCTCCAAGGTCGCCCTCGCGGAAAGCAGGGCCTCTGACGAAATGTGCCGGGTGCCACGGTGCGATATGTGACCGAACTGACCCCTCAAGCTGCACATGGCAACTCATGCCCTCACTCGTCCGACTCCCCCCCCCAACACCTGGAAGTTCAGGCCAGCCACACCCAACCTGGCCAGACGACACGGGAAATCTTGATATGACACGTCAGAAACGCAAGTGCTCAAAGATGCCTGCTCGCTGCAGAGCAACTGTGCATGACATGCGAGCAGGCAGGAAGTTGGCCCAATGGAGGAGGGCCCATTCTTACAAATAGCCTCAGTTCCAGCCCTCTAAGACTCACACAGTCCCGCATGCTCAGGCGAGAGGTAGTCTTGTCGCCTGAAAGCGCTGGCAATCGTGTTCTGTGCCATATTCAGATCACACTAACGTGTCGGCATCCATATTTGCAGATTTCTGTTGGCATTTGCATCTCCTCCAAGCCCACCACGTCAAGCTGTCGACAAGCTCTTGCAGCTTGTGCGTCGCAACTTTATCAGCTGCCTGCCACCGTAGAGAAGGTATGCCACGAACCGAGGCCCCTTCTATTTTTGGGATGTTTGCCGCTTCTCTGTTGGTCCCCAACGGTATTAGGATGCTCAAAGGTGAACCAAACCTTAAACTTCCTAAACCCTAAACCCTAAAAACCCTAAACCTGAAACGTTGAACCTTAGAACCCGAAACCTCAATAGACCCGAAATCCTCGCCTGCTGAACCCTAAATCCCTAAACCCGAGTCCCTCTGCACCTCAAGCTACCGCTGGTGGCTCTTTGTAATATCGACTGCAGTTTTGACTGAAATTTAGGCTCTAGGATTCTAGGATCCTAACCATCAGTTTGGTTACGCAGAAAGGAACTGCAATGGATACGACAGCTGGCCAGCTGCTGGAACAGTTCGAACGGGGTTTTGGGGATCCGGTTCCGTCCCCATGTCCCATATCTGAAAACAATTGCACACCAAGACTACTTCGGGGCACTTAGTACATAAGTATAGTACAGCTAGAAGTACCCTCACTAGGCGTATTGTATCGTACATACGAAAGCGCCCGGCAACAGCACAACACCTGCCACGAAAAGGAGCACACACACTTGACACATCGTGTCGCAGGTCTGATCTGTCGGTGCATACTGTCAGGGAAAGTCAGCAGCTGTCAGGGAAAGTCAGAGGCTGCACGGGAAAGTCAGAACATGCAATCTGAAGTACTACCATAGGACAAACACGAATCACTCATGTAAGACTGACATGTGCAGACCCTCACTCATGACTGTCGCATTCACAGGCAAACTCTTGAACAGGAACTGAGCAAGAAACTGACCAATGCAAGCCCTCACTCATGACTGTCGCATTCACAGATACGCTCTCAAGCTGCCACATGCGTGACCCATGAGCAGCTTTATGCAGGTACAGGTTCACACGTCTGTGAGCCCATCCAGTCAACATCCATAGCTTCGTTGGCGTGGCTAGGATGCGACTGCCACGCCCCCTGCTGCTTAACTCACTCACATCTCTTGGAAACAGAGTTGGACACACACAAGCCCCGAGGGGCTCCTTGCAATGTTGACAGTCGTTGCGCGCTGTTTTATCTCACCGATTTTTCATGGGAAAGTCTTATGCTCAAGAGACCTAGGAAAATGGGCTACGAAACTTCAGGAAACGCAGTCTGTGCACTAAGTGCAATTCGACTTCGGCTTCTTCCGCATCAGCATCGAAGTACATGCAACACTGAGTTGCAGTTTGGTACGCAGCATTGGCCAATGACACGATACTCACTCGCAAATGCTCCTGTACTAGCTCTACCACAGCTCTCATCCACCTTTTTGACGGGCTGCTCAACATGGTGCAAGCCACGGCATTGATTTGGACAAAACGGATGGTGGTATGCAAAGACTGAAAGCCCATGGTCAACTCAACCGAGGAGGACAGCCGAAATTCCTGTATCCCACGTCGCAGGAACGTGTACGCCACCATGGTGTCGGTTATGGGTTGTGCCTCTTCTGGGTCATCATTTCGATCGAGGCGAGTAATGAATGTGATTCTGGCTCTGATCGGCAACACGTACATCAAGATGTTCTCGAGCACGTCAGAAGCGGCCCAATCCATGTTGTTCGGGATCTACACAATTTTCAGAGTGCTTGAAACAAAACTCTGTTGCATGTCTGATGAAAGCAGCTCACAACACCGCAGCACTTGCACATCTCTGACATGTTACTCTGCACATTTCTTGCACTGCACTTGCACGAACCTCGCACATCCCTTGCACATCACTTGCAATCCGCTTGCACATCCCTTGCTCGTCACTTCTCTTGACATGACACAGAGGTGGTCTCTTTTTATACCGTCACAACGAAATCGACTGGTTCAAGGGTTTGAGCAGTCGTTACAGGTTCAGTAAACCGAAGATGGCGAAAGTTTTGTACAAGCTGAAAGGTGTGTAACCTAGGCCACCAGCCGAACTTCTCCCAGAGCTGCATCGCGACGAGGTATTTGGCAACGTTGATGGAATCGTTGATTGATAACTGGATGTGGAGAGTAATAGTCTCGTGTCCGGTTGCCCGACTGCATACACGAACCCACATCCGAAAAATGTAGTCGCGGCTCGTACTCCAAGGCAGATTGGCTTCACGGGCCTTGCGCTTCATGTTGGGCAACCTACACAGTTTCACTGGATGCCAAATGCTGCAACTCAAGACGGTTCATGCAGAAAGCTGATAATGCACAGCACGGCAAACGCGCACTCTTTAGTTTCTTTCACTTTCTTTGTGCAATCTCTCACTTTCGGTCAAGAACGTACTGCACAAGTTTCAAAGTGGACGAAAAACGCTTCCTAGGGCCTTGCTTTTCTTTGGCAATGCGTTCTCCATGCTGTCTCAAGAAATCGAGAATGAACTGAGCTCTGTTGTGAATGAAGAAATCGTCACCAAGCACTCTCGTGCCTTCCATTCTGCGGCGAAATTGGGTACTGGGTGCAGGACGAATCTTGATGCGCACACCATCAGGCCCTTCATCAATCATACGAAGTTTGCGTTTCCGCGGTGGGTCCGTCTGCAACATGTTGGTGTGCTCTGCAGCGGACTGCTTCGGCTTTGGGACATGAACTAATCGACCAGAGGACAAAGACGTAGACTGTCGGTCAATGGATGAAGACGCATTAATACTCTCATGATCAAGAGCAAAATCAGCCGAATCCGGATCGCTGGCCAAAAGAACACCTGATGCCACATCTGCACGTCGATCACGTTCTTGGTCCGATACTGCAAGGTCTGACGAGAAGTCGGAAGAGTGCACGTCCGATACAGAGGCAACATCGCTCTCGAAACTGGACACCGACATGATGGAAAGCTACTTGTACGTTCCGAATCTGTCTTGCACTGCAGAGAACCTTGAGGACATGAGGCAAGACAATGTCTGCAAACGCTCACAACACATGGTGCCGGCAGATCGCTTGTATCACCCTTGCACATCACTTGCACATCACTTGCACGTCCCTTGCACATCCCTTGCAACACCCTTGCAGTGACACTGGCGCACAGACGCTTCTTTGCAACTGCTCACGTTTCACTCTGAGACTTCAATCTCTGCTGGGAGCGTTGGGGGCAACTCTGTTGTTTCTTGTAGTTGAAGAGAATTAACACAGTGGGAAGTCACAGATTGAAGAGAATGCAAATCCGTCAGCAAGTTGCCCACCACTTCGTTGGTCTTCTGAAGTTTCTGAAACAGTTCTGTGATGGCAGACATGACTTCTGCCACCTGAGTCTCCGTGTCCCTGATTTGTGCGGTGAGCACGTCGAGTTGGGCTTGTTGGATCTTTTGGACGGAGAAAGCTTCTTCGCGAAAGTGACGGAATTCACCTCTGATTGTGATCAGCTCCTGTTGTGTGTAGGAAATCCAGCGTTGAAGAGGTGCCAACGGGTCGCACGCTGAGTTGCTCGACATTAGTGCAATGGGACGACACTTGAGCAGGGTGCTGCAACACTGTTCTGGTATGCAATACAACATGAATAAAACAATACTCACAGCACTTGCATCCAATGCACATTCTTTCCTCACTTCAGCACTCACATGCGTCACAGATACAAGCGAAACCCTGTCACTCCGGACATACTCAGCTGAGATCAGACGATTGACTGCGTCGAAATCGGCGTGATTCACGCCTTCTGGTAGGCATGGGTTTGGATCTGATCGGAGTACCTGACGTAGCTGAAGATGTAGGTGCAGCCGACGACGAAGCGGTACTCGACACCAAAGGAGGTTCAGACACACGATGCCCCAAGCTTCCTGGTGGTGCCGGGGGTGGAAAGACGGGAGCACTGGCACTGGGCGGGGGGAAATTGGGAGGGGGAAGAGGAGGAGGGAGGGGAGGGGGGGGGAGAGGGGGAGGGCCAGGGGGAGGTAGGGGGGGAGGTGTGGAACTGGAAGATGGGTTGTCGCTCCCTGCACTCGGCGCACTCCTCATTGCTGGCAGAGGGGGTGGAGGTGCATAGGGATGGGATCTGCAATTGCCACTGGACGAACGTGATCCTGAAGCTCCACTACTGCTAGGACGTTCTTCACGTAGGTTTGCTCTATCCCTCTCATCCAAACGACGCAACTCTTGCTGCAGCATTCTTTCTGTCCCGTCACGCACAAAAGCTGTCAATTGAAGTACAAGGGCTTGACGAAGTTGAGGTCGTGATACAAAGTTGAGCAATCTCACACGCGCTGAATGAGTGAGCATTCTCAAGAACTCATCGATGCTAGGATCCGAAGGTGGCACCGTCGGCATGCTTGCTTGCACAGATGATCTCGTCTCTTAGCCAAAAACACTGCGATGCTGACATTTGCAAGTCTCTCACACATGGCGAACTCAGATCAAGACATGTTGCATGCACGTCCGCTGTCAACTGTCAACTGATAACAGACCACTTTTACCGTTTCATCAAAGCTTCACACAAGCGAAATGGATAACCAAGGTTCGCTAACCACCGTACAAAAGTATGGACAGCTACTTCCGCTTGGCACGTTGGCCAAGTGTACTTACGGATGAGAGAAATTCTCGACTTCGCACCTGACACCAGCAATCGATCGCTACCTGCACTCATGGGATGTCGAACTTGCCAAAGGAACTTGGGCTGGAGATAGTAAATCGTTCGGTTTCGGACATCGATATCAAATCCCAAAAAGTGACCATCACCGACAGCTTCAAGTACAATCGGAGAACCATAAAAGGTTTCTTGGCTGAAGACTTGAAAAGGCACTGTTTTATGCACTTCGGTGGGTGCAATCACCAGTCTATTGTCCACATATCTTGCAAGAAAAGTGGAAGGGAAACTCGAGATCTGCGGGAACGTTGCTGCCCAACCGAGCTCAGTCATCACCACTGGAAGGGAAGAGAGGA